CGTCGCTAAGCTCGAGCCCCTTCACCTCGCGACTAAGGAGGTGCTTGTCGAAACCATAGTGCCAAGCCTTGTAGTTGGAGCATGTACCGTCCGGCTCAAGACGAAGGAGCGGGATCGGGTTGGCGAGTGAAGTGGTTGAGTGAGCCATTGCCGCTTGATTTTAAGCGACGCACTTAAGTAACCGATAGGAACTTAGGTGCGCATCGCGGCACTTCTGGAAATCGGTCGACGAGATTTGCTCAAAATCACTTTGAGGGCTTTGTTGAAATGCCGCTAAGAAGGAAATGACTTCGACGAAAATTCGTTAAAATGCCGACTTGAGACTATGTCTAACCCCGGACCCACACACCCCCCCACACACCCCCAGGCCCTGTCCCACAGCTACACAGCTCCGCAACCAGCTCCACAACCAGCTACGCAACCAGCTCTGCAACCAGCTCCGCTTCGCTTTCACCTGTGTACCTGCTCTTGCTTGATGCGAGACGTTCGTGGAGGCTATTCCGCGAGGGGAGTTCGCCTATTCTGGCGGGGTGCGAGGGGAAACTCGAGAACGAGTTTTAAGAGATGGTCGAAATTGAGATTCGACCAAGGAGAACCGAGGAGGAAATCGACGATGAGGAGCGTGAAAGCTTGAGATATGATAAATTCAACGAGGTCGAGTGCGAAGGCGGACGACGATAAGAGGCGCGACTGCAGAGTGGAGCACGTGGAAATTCCGATGACTCGAGACGAATGTTGCAACGATGAGGTGCGCGTAGTGCGGGCACGTTAAGATAAGGAGCTTGATCCTCGTGTGCAGATAGGTCGCTCTGATACCATATAAGAAATAGAGTTTAAATTATTGATTAGGTAAGGAGCCCAAGGCTCTATAAGTACATGGCAAGGTGAGAGAGAATGGATGAAGAGGGGAATAGGAGGGAATCCCCATTGGGATCTTCGAAATCTCCTATTGGGTAATTGGAGATTGGGGGGATCACAATTGGGTGAGGTTGGGATTTGTGAGTACACCCCAACCCACTAAAACATTCATAACCTAATGTAGGATATATAAATACAAATACAAAAGTGGGATTTGCAGTCTATTTTTAATAGTGTTGGGGTGTCAATCCGACCCAATTGTGGTGGGAGTCGCTAAACACAAGAACCACAATTGTGGGGGCACCACAAGTGGGTTGCTCAAGCCACTTGTGGTCCACCACACTTGGACCACCTCCAACATGTGGTCAACGATATTTGGAAGGATTCCCACTTAATTGTGATTGGTCCTCGCCACCCTTCCCTTCCAACCTACTCTTCCTTGCTCATCTCCCTTCCTAAATAATCCCTTTCCTTCATCAATCAACCAAGTTTTCTGTTTCTAACATGGTATAGAGCTACAATGGCTCGATTCGCAAAAGGTATGGTCCGGGAACATCGCCCAGTACACACACGTTTCGGCTAAATTAAATAGTTGCTCAAGGCACATGCTCAGTGCTTCACAAAACCTTGGGAAATGGAGCTTAACGAACGAAGCAGCTTCAACGTCTGCAGATTTGGACTCCCCAGACATCTTGCACTTCAGGTCCTTCTGGGCCCATCCAACGCTGGCTTTGAAGTCCGTGTGCACGTTCCAGTCAGGCGCAAGGGCAAGAGCACGCTGCTGGATAAGCGCAAGTGTGATCGGCAAGCTAGCGCAGTCCCCCCTGGGAAGCCAGGTCCTCTGTAGATCCTCCAATACAGGCGAGAATGCGTTTCTCAGCCTTTTCAGCTTGGTGCTTTCTGGGCCGAGTGCTTTCCATCTCGGCTCGTCCTTGACAGGGTGCTTCGGTTAGGCCATAGGCCATATCTGGTGTGGCACCACTGAGTCAGGTCGGAAAGATGGAGCGTAGAGTGCTTGGCGGAGTACTCGCAGATGGCGATTTTCTGGGCTACGATGAATGTGTCCCTTCGTACGGAGGCAATCGTGCCACTATCCTGAGTGCATCCGAGACTGAAACCAAGCGATGGTAGATACATCCGGCTTTGGGAGCTCTAACAGATGGCTTGACATTGCGATTGCTGGCGTCCCTACTAACACAATGTGATTGGGCAAGGGTGACGGATTACGCTACGCAACAGGAACTGATTCCGTCACCGCACATGGCACGTAGCAATTCGTTGTCGTGCTACGCCTGAATCAGGTCTGTTGGTGCAACCCAATGGCTTGCACTCGGCTTGTCGTCCTTGTTTGTGTGCGTGCATGCATGGCATGGAATGAATTGAGAGTCTATGTCACTGCTATCTAGTGCTTGTGTGTGTGTCTGAATGGTGTATCACAATGTGGTTTGTGTCGGTCAAGACATTAGCGAGTTTTCACAACTCGATGTCAAGTCGTCGTTTGCGTGTCGCATGTGCTTTTTCTATTTTGTCGAGTGTGAAGTGTCCATCGTGTCGCACGTGTGTGCAGCAAGCCTCCAACAACTCAAGAAGAATTTATATTGCTGAACCAAGACCAAGAGCTCAAGATTTCAAGCCCAAGGGACACGGATAAATATTAAATAGTGAAAATAGTAACGCTACTTCGTGTAGTGTTACATTTCACTTGGTGTAGCCCCTTGGAGGGTTTGTTTCGAGACTCTTCATGGTTGGGGACTCTGTGGTGGTATACCACCAACCTGGACCTCGACTCTTGGGGTATGTAGAGGCTGGGAACCATCTCTATCTCGAATTCTTCTTCCTAAGTTTTTGTACTCCTAAGACTATAGTGGCTGCTGTACCTCCTGCCAGTCAAACCGCCAGAGCGTCGTCAAATCTTCATGGAATTTCATGATTCAACTTGCTGCTGATAGACGACAGCAACGCGCTCAAGATCCAACTTACAGATCACCGTTTGAGGCACAGATCAGATCGCCATCAATATTTGAAGCTGTCTGACGGAATTCTGACTGTGCACAATTTCTCTCATTTTAGGCACATCTGAGCCTATTGTGATTATAACAAGGTCGTGATTATGTGGATATAAATGGGTTCATTGGTTGGCACCTCTGGGGTGCTGCGATCGCAGCTGGTTGTCGACCAGTCAGCGATATATGTTGGTTAGATTGCTGAAATTTATTGGTGGCGATGCATTAATTATAGGCAGACTGTAACTGTGCCTGATTGGCTGGTTACAAGTTTTTGTTGCGTATATGGGGTTTGCACCCAAGGAATAATTGCACCTTTTAAAACTTTGCGCTTGTTGTTGTTGCACTAGTCGCACACGAACAATAAATGCTTCTGCCAAGGTTTTTTTTTTTTTTTTTTTTTTTTTTTTCCGCTTTGGGTCAGTGTCTATACAATGTTTAAGTCGAGACCATGATCCCTTCTCGTTTCTCTCACATGTGCAATGTTTGGTCGGCGATGTGGGCAAGGAGGGGTCTACAACCTTCGGGCTACACGAGCACAAGATGTACTACACCAGGATGAATGACAACGAGGCAAATGAAACAATTGAGTTCCCGATTTACCATCATGCCAGACTCATCCCGTTGTGTCTTATGTACCTGCAGACAGCTCTTCTGACAGAACTCTTGCGCTAAATGTACCTGTGCCACGGTAATTTCAAAGTTGTCCACTTTTCTTTTCTCCCCAATGCTGACCCCCCCTTGTGTGCCTCCCAAAGTTGGAGGCATTCTCTCTCATGCACGCTCAAGCTGCTCTTCTAACGAAGCCCCTGATGCTGCAGTGGTTGTGTTATGCATAGTGTTAGAAAAATAAAAGTTGGTTTGTTGATGAAGAAAAGGGACAACATAGGAAGGGAGATCAGTTAGGAAGCGAAGGTTGAAAGACAAGGAGGGGTGAGGACCAATCACAGTGGAGTGGGGTTCCTTACAAATGTGGTTGACCACAAGTGGGAGGTGGTCCAAGTGTGGTGGACCACAAGTGGCTTGAGCAACCCACTTGTGGTGCCCCACAATTGTGTTGTGTTTAGGGACTCCAACCACAATTAGGTTGGATTGCCACCCCAATACTGGTGTACACACAATGTACACAAATAGCATAGCATCGTATATTCTAACACAATCCATAGCATGAAGGGTACACCCTCAGGCTCAGCGATCTTACGGACCACCAAGTGACCTTGCTGGACCAACTCCCGAACGAAGAAGTAGCGGTGTTCAATGTGCTTGGAGTGGCCATGGAAGATAGAGTCCTTCGTGAGATGGATGGTGTTGGCATTATCGCACCAGAGGGTGGGGCAGCCCTGACGAGCACGGATCTCAGCAAGGAGGATAGTGAGTCAGCGAGCCTACTGAGCGACCATGGTGTAAGCGTAGAGCTCAGCCTCTCAGGAAGAGAGGGCGATGGAGGAGGAGCGAGTGGAGCGCCAACTGATGATGCGGCTGCCAAGGGTGAAGCCGTCGCCTTGAGAGAAACGTCAATCCGGCTAGGAGTCGGCCCAGGAGGAATCACTAAAGCCGGAGAGGAGAGGAGGAGAGGAGCCTCCGAGGGTGAGGAAATAGTCCTTGTTACCACAGATGTAGCGGAGGACCCGCTTTGCTACAACCCTGTGCTCTCCGGTGTGGCGACTGGCACCGATGAAGCGAGCAAGAACGCGGATGGCGTAGGCAAGGTCGTGGTAGGTGCACATCATAACGTACATCCGCGAACCGACAAGCTCCGTGTAAGGATGGTCAGAAGAGGAGGGAGCAGGAGGAGGGGCAAGCTGGTGGTCGGTCTGCAGGGGAGTGGTAACCGGCTTGGCCGGCACCATGTCAAACCGCTGCAAGACTTGGTCGATATAGAAGGACTGAGAGAGGGTAATGGTGCGCACTATGTGAACCTGGGAGATGGTTATGTCTAGATAGTGCTTGAGCTCACCCAGGTCATTGCACTTGAGGCATGCGTGCAGGGTGTCCTTCACCTGCTGCATGGTGGCAGCATCGTCAATGAACAGGATCATGTCATCGACATACACGAGGATGAAGAGGAAAAGGCTAGCATCGGACTGAGAGGCGTGAAACCCCAGGCTGTGCAAAATGGTGGCCAGCTTGTTGTTCCATGCTTAAGGGGCCTGCTTGAGGTCATAGACTGAGCGGTGCAGCTCCCAGATTGTGTTGCAGGGGAAGGTCGCTTGAAAGCCCTGAGGCCACCACAGGAGGACCCGACCCTAGAGCTCGCCTTGTAGGAAGGCATTGGAGAATAGTTGCAATCTCTATGCTAATGCGGACGGTAGTCGAGGAGGGCACAGAGAGTGGGGAGCTTGGCAGTCGAGGAAAATGTCTCCTAGTAGTCAATGCCATGGGTCTTGGGGAAGCCCTTGGCACAATACCAGGCCTTGTACTCCGGTTCCTCACCTCGCAGCTGCTTCACGCTGAACACCCACAAGGCTTCAACAATGGCGTCGTCAGAAGAGGGGATGACGTCAATAAGGAGGCATTGCAGATAAAGGCTTCGCATTCAACAAAGATACCCTGGTTCCACTTGGCAGCATCCGGGCAGGTGATGGCCTCTAGAGAGTTGGACGATTTGAATATGGTGGAAGTGGTGGCGATGCCTAGAATGATGAGACCAAGGAAGCCCGGGTAGAGAGGCATATGAGAAGGTGCTTGCTGCCGGATGCCACGAAGCTCTTCATGCGAGTCCTCAATGAAGGGAAGGGAGGGTGGATGTGGCACTGGCCAACTCCATGGATGGGCAATAAGTGCGCCACGAGAGCGAGTGTGGATGCGTGGGAGGATGAAAGGTGAGGAAACATCGATGAGGCTGCTGCTGCGGCTGCTTCTTCTCCTCCGACTGTTGTGGCTGCTACTGCTGCTTCTGCTCTTCCGGCTGCTGCAGCTGCTGCTGCTCCTCTAGCCAGTGCTGTTGCTGCACCTTCTGCTGCTGCGGCTGCTGCACCACCTGCTGATGCTGCGGCTGCTGCTGATGCTGCTGATGCTGCGGCTGCTGCTACTGCTGCTGCTGCTGCTGCTTCAGTTGTTGGTGGTGCTGCTGCTCCTGGCGTTGAGGGTGCGGATAAAAATTGGTGAGGAGAGCAGCATGGACGAGGGCATAGCCCCAAAAGGAAGGGGGTTGGAGGCATGAGTGAGAAGACAGCGTGCTGTCTTGTGATCTAACGGATGCGGCTTTCAGTGATGCCATTCTCCTGAGGGCAGTGAGGAAGGGTATGAGTCTGCTGGATCCCATGGGTGGAGAAGTAGGAGGAGAGGGTGTGGTTGAGAAACTCACCACCACCTTCGAAATGGAGGCAGCGGATGGGGCGAGCAAAGTGGACATGACACTACTCAGCCCAGGCGACGATGACAGCAGGGGACTCGGCCTTTGTGTCGAGAAGGAACGTTGAGGAGCATTGGCTGTGGTCGTTGACGAGAACAAGCATATACCGGTGCCCCTGGCAGGAAGGGGAAGGCTTAGGACCCCATAGCTCCATGTGGATGAGGTCAAGAGGGGCAGTAGCAAAGGAAGGGTGAATGCAGTGAGGCTGATGCTCGAGCTTGCCATGAATGCATGCGGCACATGGGGGCGCGGGAGATGACGGGAGGGGAGGAAGAGCCGGAGGGAGACTGTCAAGCAAGCAGGAGGAGACGGCTTAGCAAAGAGCGGGAAAAATTCATGTGACCGAAGTGATGGTGGATGAGAACAGCAGGGTGAGACAACGGGCGCCATGAGCATGGTTCGGGGGTGGAGAGGGGAGAAGGCGGGTCAGGAGGGAGGGGAGTGGGGAGAATGGAGGTGACTGTACGAGTTGTGACATGACACGAGGAGGGGCGGGATGTGCTGAGAATGTACTGGCACGCGCGAGGGCAAAGAGGGAGGCGATAAAGAAGGTGGCCAGAGGGGCAATGGAGGACGTCATAACAGGTGGCAGAGGCGGGGAATATGGTAGTGATGCCTGTAAGAAATAGAGTTCAAATAATTGATTAGGTAAGGAGCCCAAGGCTCTATAAGTACATGGCAAGGTGAGAGTGAATGGATGAAGGGGGAATTGGAGGGAATCCCCATTGGGATCTCCGGAATCTCCAATTGGGTAATTGGAGATGGGGTGGATCACAATTGCGTGAGGTTGGGATTTGTGAGTACACCCCAACCCACTAGAAGATTCATAACCTAAACTGGGATATAAAGGTACAAATACAAAAGTGGTATTTGCTGTCTATTTCTAACACACCCCCATAGACTGCAAACCCGGTCAAGGAGCACATAGCCCCGTGGAACGGCGAAGGCGATGGTGGTCAGCCTTGCCGAGAGCCTTGGTAAAGAAGTCGGCGAGGTTGCAATCTGAAGCGATGTACCGTACCGTCAGCTGGTCACTCTGAACAAGATCTCGGATGAAGAAATGACGAAGTTCGATGTGCTTGGTGCGAGAGTGGAACACAGGATCCTTGGTGAGGTGAATGGCACTCTGGTTGTCACACCACAGGGTGGGCGACTGCTGGGGGTAGCCTAACTCAGCGAGGAGAAAGGAGAGCCAGCGTGCCTCTTGAGCAGCCATTGTGCCCGCGTAGAGCTCGGCCTCGCAAGACGACAGGGAGACTGCAGAGGACCGAGTGGAGCGCCAGCTGATGACTCCGCTACCAAGGGTGAAGCAGTACCCTTGGGAGGAGCGTCTGTCAGTCTGGTCATCGGCCCATGGGGAGTCTGTGTATCCCTCGAGCTTGACTGGAGAGGTACCACCAAGAGTGAGGATGTGAGACTTGGTGGCTTGTAGATAGCGGAGGACCCTCTTGGCTGCAGACCAATGTGAGGCAGTGTAGCGTCCGGGGGAGACGTACCGAGAGAGGACACTAACCGGGTAAGCCAAGTCTGGTCGAGTGCACATCATGGCATACATGAGTGAACCGACTAGCTCAGGGTACGGGTCCTTGCAGGCGTCAGGAGAAGGAACTGGAGGGGCCGTGAGCTGATGCTGTAGTGGGAGTGGAGTGGAGACAGAGTTACTAGAGTCCATGTCGAACCGCTTGAGAAGGTTGTCGATGTAGGACTCCTGGGAGAGCGTGATCGTGCAAGCCTGGCGGTCACGAGTGATCTCCATCCCCAGGTAGTTCTTGAGGTCACCAAGATCCTTCATGAGAAGGGACGAGCTGAGAGCAGACTGGACAGCTGCCATGTCGGCTGGATCTCTGGCGGTTAGAATGAAGTCGTCGACGTAGACGAGGATGTAGAAGGGCTCGGAGGAGTGACGAACGAAGAGACTGGAATCTGAGGCAGAGGGATGGAAGTCAAATGCGAGGAGGACATTCTTCACTTTGTTGTGCCACTCAAGAGGAGCCTGCTTGAGGCCATACACTGGGCGCTTCAGCTTCCACACTGTGTTGGCAGGGTAAGTGCTAGGAAACCCCGGTGGGCGTTCCATGTGAACATCCTCCTTGAGCTGGCCTTGGAGAAAGGCGGAGGAGGCGTCCGACGGGAGGCCAATAAGAAGTTTCTTAGAAGCGATGTCGGCAAGTGTACAGAAGTTGGGGTGACCCAAGCGATGGTGGTAGAGGATGGTTGGGTTGGCGAAGCTGCGACACGAACACGGAGTGGTGCTGGCAGCTTGCGCTTGGGAGAGGGCAGCGAGAGGTGCAGGTGAACGCAGCGTGTAGAGCTTGCTACTGTTGAGTGCGAAGCGTGCTAGGAGCTTGTTGGACTTAGGATCGAAGAGGTCACAGTGATCCGAGTGTGCTGGGAAGATCGTGGTGACGCGTGCCCGTTGGAGCTCGTGTTGGGCCACGAGATTGTGGCGTAGTGTGGGAACACACATGCCGGTGACACTGCCTGAAGGAAAAGCTGGGCACGGAACTGTGGAGGAGCCCTTGGCGTGTGTTCTGAAACTGGAGTCTGCTCCAAGTAGACGGATTGGTGTCTCGTATGGCTTGAAGGAGTGTTCTTCCATGAGAACCGTGTGAGTGGGAGCTACAGCACTGTGCACGGATTCCTGCGCTTCGACTTGATTGACTTGGCGAGGAGCACGATTGACCATCCAGCTTGGCGGCTTGGAGGCGGTCCCATTGACGGCATACCAATCGTCATCCTTTTTCTTGAAGCAGGAGGCAAGGGCGTGGTTGGTGCCGCCACACACCTGGCCGGCACGAGGGCCGCGCTTGATGACATAGGGACACGGGGGGAAGCGGTTGCGCTGGAATGGCGCCGAAGCGGCATAGGCTTGAGGCACGGGAGCGTGTATTGCGTTGGCCTTGGCTTGAGCGCTGTTGTCCTTTTCGGCAGAAAGGAGCGCGGATGAGACCTTGGCAAATGTGAGGTCTGCAAGAGCAAGGCCCAAGAGCATCTTGCGTGTGACTTCGTATGCCGGAGTGAGGCCGACTAGGAGAGCGGCTGTAGGGGCTTGCTCGGGGAAGACTATCCCCAACTGTTTGAGTTCACCATGAATGGACTGCACCTTGGTGACATAGTCCGCCATGCCTGGCGAGTCCTCGAGCCGCACTTGGAACATGCTGGGGATGAGTATAGCAACTCCCACTGCAGTCTTGTTCAGGAAGCGATCCTCGAGGTAGAGCCAAATGGCGTTGGCAGACAGGTAGTTGTGGTAGGTTTCGACGAGTTCGGGAGGAGTGGTGCCCATGAAGACACTAATGACCGCACCATCGGCCTTCTCCCAATTCTTGTACTTGAGCAGTGCAGCAGCATAAACTGCTTCGGCGGCGGCATTAGCTGGATCGGCGGACCTCTCGGGTTTAGGAGGCTCTTTGCCGTCACCGATGTTGAGAAGGACGTCGGTGAGCTCGAGCCCCTTCACCTCGCGACTGAGGAGGTGCTTGTCGACACCATAGCGCCAAGCCTTGTAGTTGGAGCATGTGCCGTCCGGCTCGAGACGAAGGAGCGGGATCGGGTTGGCGAGTGAAGTGGTTGAGTAAGCCATTGTCGGTGTGCAGCGCGGCACTTCTAGAAATTGGTCGACGAGAATTGCTGAAAATCACTCTGACGGCTGTATCAAAATGCCGCTAAGTAGGAAATGGCATCGGCGAAAATTCGTTAAAACGCTGACTTGAAACTGAATCTGAGCCTATGACTAACCCCCGGACCCACACACCCCCCCACACACCCCCAGGCCCTGTCCCGCAGCTATACAGCTCCGCAACCAGCTTTGCTGCGTTCACCTGCACCTCTTGCCGCCCTCTCCCAAGCGCAAGCTGCCAGCACCACTCCGTGTTCGTGTCGCAGCTTCGCCAACCCAACCATCCTCTACCACCATCGCTTGGGTCACCCCAACTTCCGTCGCAGCTGCTCCGCTGGACCTAGTGCACATGGATGTCTGGGGCCCAGCTCCAGTCGCATCCCGAGGCGGTCATCGGTACTTTCTTACACTAGTCGATGACCACTCGCGGTATGTTTCTGTGCACCTCCTGCATACCAAGGCGGAGGCACCTGATGTCATCATGGCGTGGGTGCGCCAGGCTCAAGTCACGTTCGGCACTCCTCTGAAGTGCCTCCATTCTGATGGCGGGGGAGAATTTTGCAATGGCAAACTCGATAAATTATGTGCGGCCCAAGGGATTCGGCAAACCTTCACGCTCCCCGAAAGCCCACAGCAGAACGGCATTGCAGAGAGCCGCAACCACACCTTGGTTCAGATCGCTCGCTGCCTCCTCTGTCACGCCAACGCACCACGGTTACTCTGGGGATATGCCCTCTTCCATGCGGCACTCCTCTACAATCTTTATCCACATCCCCACCGGCCCGACACCACACCTACCGCTCTCTGGCTTGGAGTCACGCCTTTCGCCCACTCTCTACGCGTCTTGGGGTGTACCGCGAAAGTTTTGCTAAGCCCCCACACGCGCAGGAAGCAAGGTGGCAAGCTTGGTCCCAAAACCCAGACCTGCATGTACCTGGGGCACAACTCCGACTCCCCAGACTATTTATTCCTCAACCCAATCACCAGACAGCTGATTCGCAGCCGTGATGTCGTCTTCGATGAGACACGCCCATTCCACTCTGCGACCACGGGCGAGCCTCCTCCACCTCCCCCGACGCTTGTTTGGGCAGACTTCGATGCC